TCTCAGCAGGCTCAGAAGCATCCAGGAAGATTTCCAACATGTCTAATTATATTCTACCTCCTACATCAGATGGGGAATAGAAGTATCCATTTTGCCTGTTGCCCAGCAGGAACCTATAATATTCCTCTCAGAGTACTAGTATGAAAAAATGCATTAGGTAGACCTTAAAAATGTCATTCAAAATCAAAATCCTTCAGAAAAGCCCATTATCTCTGGAAAGAAAAAAACTACAGACATTAAAACCTACAGGTGCCAGGAATATGTTCTTTAGCATTCTTCTCTACAAGCACAAATTGACTTTTTTTGCGAATGTAAAGATATTACCAAGTAATCTTAGCTTTTCTTATAATTGAGTTATATGGAAAAGCTATACAGAAGAAGGCAATTGCAAAGACACTGCCTCACTATACTAAGTTATTAGAAAATCATAAATTGAAAAATTAGTAAATATCTGAATTTAAAAGGGCTTCGCATCGGAACAAAAACTGTGTCTTAAAACGTATGATTATCTACTGAGTCAATAGAGAGATTTATTGAATAAGCAAATGTTAGAGCTTGAAGGGGATTAATTTTATAAATGATGGAACTGTAGGTCCAAAAATATGTCAATTGATCTGATATCATAATGCAGGTAAATTGCAAATCCAGGGATTGAAACAATCAGTATTACAACTGCCACATAATATTAATTCATTAAGCTCTAATTTATATGAACAGGAAATACAAAGCTAACATGATTAGGAATCCATGGGTTATATAAACAAATTTCTTTCATATATCTTACTCTATGTATAGCTATATTAGATATCAAGATCATACTAAGTTCTCTGAAAAATATTTTGTGTACTGGGGCCCGCTTGGTGGTGCAGCAAAGTTCTCACATTGTGCTCCCGGTGCCCGGGGTTCACTGGTTGGGATCCCGGGTGTGGACCTATGCACCACTTGTCAAGCCATACTGTGGCAGGCAACCCACATATAAAGTAGAGGAAGATGGGCACAGATGTTAGCTCAGGGCCAGTCTTTCTCAGCAAAAAGAGAAGGATTGGCAGCAGATGTTACCTCAGAGCTAATCTTCCTCAAAAGAAAAAAAAATTGTGTCTGTTATATGTATTGGTGCATATTTGTGTGTATGTGTGTGGGTGGGTTTGTGATAGAGAATTCTCAATGACAGAGAATTTCTATAGGGCATACACACAAGAACTATTTCTGGGGATTTTGAAAATATAGCTCTTTAGTCCCTATCAAAGATTTTCTGGATAAGAATATCTAGGAGCAAGGCTCAGTAAACTCTGGGAGTGAGGCTCAGTCATCTTCCAGGGAGTAAGGCTCAGTCATGTATATGTGTATACAGCTCCTTATGTGATTCTGATGTACAACGTTGGTTCAGTACCACGAATCCCCCACCCCCAAATATTAACTCAAAGATTTAATTTTATAGCAAGACAGAATATTAGGGTAACAAAAATTGTTCAAGATCCGCCAATACAACATGACATCAAGTGAAATGATTTTCTTTTAGTCACTGACGATCTTGCTAATTATGCTAGAGAAATTCAAGAGACTGGACATTTTCTCATTTGGAATTTAACACATTCCATTATCTATAATCCTTGATTCTTGGAAAGTCTGCGCATTTCTGTAACTTTCGCTTTTTTTTTGCACTATCGCCCACAGTAAGCAATATGTCTAGTTCAACTGTACATATGACTATCTTTAAAATATTTAAACAAACGTATTATTACTATTCCTTCAATTATTTACTAAAATATTTCATTGATTCCATTTATTTTTTTTACATTATAGTTCTGTCTTTGATCTTTGTTCCTTTTTTTTTTTTTATTGTTGTTGTTTTATTGGTCTTAGAATCAGGAACTAAGAATTGCCCACAATTGCATCCCAGAACACAACTTCTGGGTTTGGTAAAGAGGTGTAAATAAAATTCCTCATAAAAGTAATAAAAACACAGCTGTAAAAAATTTGCCCAGAAGTATAACTATTTCTGGTAGATATATATATAGAAGCATAACTTCTATCTTACAAAGATAGATAGAAAATACTTATATACTGTCCCTCATTCTTAAAAGCAATGCTATAAACATGCCATCGTATTTTAGTTTTTCATTTCATTTCACTGGAGCTTTATAATAAAGTGCAGATATTCAAAACTCCCATAGTTTCTTTTTTAAATCAATAATAGTGGATTTGTTGGCATCATTTTGTAATTTCTATTTAAAGTGGGAAAGGACATTAGAAATCTTAAATTGTCCCCTATAATATAAAGGTGCTGCCAATTATGGCATTACACAATATTTTAAGTTTATTTTTTTTTTAATCAGACTCTAAGTAATTTTCATCAGCCTGGAGCAAATTGAGAGGAGATATTCTGAGGAGAGTAGACATACTTTCCAACATGCACCAGTGCAGAGGCCTGTCGGAAGATCAAGTTGAACTGGCTCAGTGATAACACAGTAGAATATGCCAAAGCTATATCTGTAGCCTATAAAAGTCCACTTACATATTGAAAATTTATATTTTGAATATGAAAATTGTATATTCATGAAAAAAAGATTGCTGGTTTTAAATATGGTTTGATTCCATCCCCTCCTAAATTGTATGCAGCATGAAACAGGAAACTCTCATTTCCTGCTGTATTCTTCCTGCATAAAATAATACATGCAAACGTAACAGCCCTCAATAATATTGGTTGATAGTTATTAAATGAACGAGGGCAAACGATAAAGGAAAAATTAGCCACATAAATTCCTATCACTTTAAAGGTTATTTTACTGCTTACATTTTATAAAATTTATCTTTCAAGAGCTCTTATTTGCTTTAAAATGAAAAAAAGACAGGAAACACAAAAAGCCTAATGTAATCTTCATAGTTTATATATGAAAAAGATCTAAGCATTTTCAGTGGAGATTTTCATGTGATGTGAAAAATTCATTTCATTCTCTTCAGCCTTTCATTAAAAGTGGTTTTAAAGAAATTATTTTTAAAACATGGTTTCCTTAGGTCCAGAACCATATATACACAATAAAGAATAATATCCTAGAGCATGAAGCAATAATATAATAATGAGGGCAATAGTATAATAACGGATATTTATAGGCTGAGATATTTAAATTGTTATAAAATTTAAAACATAATATTCTGTTCAGGTAGTTGTATCAAAGAACTATCTGTCTTTATTATTGCTAGAAAACCCTTTGGACTTGATATTTTTGTCTACAAGAACATTTTAAGTATTATTTATATCATAGTACCTAAATTGATGGAGAAAAACGCTTACCATTTCTATACAGTTAAGATAGTTGTACTTTGGTCCAACTACTACTTCTGTATGTAAGTGTAAAACTAAGTGTTATACTATTCATAGTTTGTATTAAAATTTTTTAAAAAATCTTAAATTTCAGTTTAAATACATCTATTTATTTGAAGTAACAGAAAGCAAAATGGACTTAAATTCCAAAAATTAATGTTGCCTCAGTAAGATTGTTTTCTGACACAGAAAGAGACATTTTTTAATGACTGTAAAAGAACAAAAAGTCTCATTATTTTGACCATAAAGTTTTGAGTTGATCTAAACTCAGACCAGCATTTCATATTTTACTTCAGCAAAAATAGGAAAGAAACTGGTTTTGAAGTTAAACATTTTGTTTTACTGATTGAGTTTACCGGCATCATTTTGAAACAACCATTTGGTATCAAGGATTGAAATTAAATGAGTTTCTCTTACTATGATTTGTGAACTCTTTATCCATTAATTAATAACACAACATATTTATTTCCTGTAGTGAAGTGCTTGGCTCCCTAAATAGGAGGATGGAGAATGGGTTCTGTTCTAATTGAAATATCTTTACATGTGCTCCACTCCCCAAAATTTCCTAGCTTAACTTTGTTCCACTCCCCAAAATTTCCTAGCTTAACTTTGTGTCATGTTAATTCAAAGTATGTTTAACACAAATGTAGTGTTTTAAAAGTATGGTCTGTGTATCAGTGAAGGTGTACCTGCTGAGTTTAGGTATTACTTTGAAAACCAATTTTTATTTTATATTTATTTTAATGTGTATTTGAAAATGTAATTTGTGTATAATCTTACTTTTTATTTCATTGATATTTTTGGTTAAGTTTAGATTAAATCAAAAACTAATTTTAATTTAAAGAAAACAATTAACTACATAATAGTCAAGACAGTTCATGAATATAGGAAAGAGATGGAGCCTATGGTCAAATGACTGAAGTTTAAGAAATTCTGCTTTAAGATAGTTATAACTTATTGTTATACATTTCCAATACTTCTTATTCAGTGTAGAGTGGGATTAATTTCTAGTGCAAGTACGCCTATAATTTACTATGAAGGAGAAGTAGAACAAGAATAAAATAATTATAAACTCTGTATCTTAAAAGTAGATAAATGACACGTGAGATGTCATCTACTAGACAATATTATCAGCACTTTATTATAGAAAACATTCTATTCAGATAGGTGGGATTGCTTACTGTTCTGTTTACCATTTTATAAGAATTTTAGAGGTAAGAATCACTTCCAGTATATCTGCTTACTTCCCCTTAATACAATATTTCTTTAAAAATGTTTAAAATAAACCAGTATCATATGAATATGAAATCAAATTTTGAAAAATGTATGAAGAACAGGTATTCTTAAGCTGTCTTGTTTTGTGGCATGCAGCATGTTCTTTTTCGTCTTAGTTTAACGACCTGTTTAGCTGCTTCTTAGAACGTGGAAGAGTCGATTCCAAATCAATATTTATTGTTGTATAATATGGGAGGTTGAAAAGGGCCCAAAGGAGGCCAAAAATGACTTTGCACACTACAGAGGAAAATTTAAGGCGGTAGCAGACAAGATAGACCTGGGAGACAGCAAAGAAGATGATAATGAAGTAAGAGATCTGTCAGGTGTCTGGTCTGACTTTGTGTCTCACAAAAAGACCAGCCTTTACGACTTAAGAGTAACCTGAGAATCTATCCTCATCCAGGATAGGAAGCTAGATCCCTCATCTACACTTCCGTACAGCGATGGAGAGTGACATCAAACACACGGTGATTACGATGAGACCCAAACGCAAATTCCCAACATTGTCAACTTCCAAGAGGCATGCAGTATATAGTTACAAGATATGGAATTTAGCGTGGTAAGACAAGTTCATATCTGAGCCATTGAATTAATATTGATAGAGATTATTTTATAGTAAATTTCTATATATAGCTATGTCACAGGAGTACCATCTACAACAACTATACCAATAGTCTATTGTTCTTGTGGATGGTATTATTCATAGAATACATATGGCCATGTTCATACAAATTTTTATCTTGTCCCTTTTGTGGCAGCAGTGGCTGACACAGACTTAACACAATCATTTTCTCATTTATAAAATATATGAAAGACTGGATACTTCTAAAGACAAGAGAAAGCAACACTTATAAGCTATTCTATTTGTATCTGGCACATTGTTATATGTGCTCTCATTCCACCTTCAGAACCTTTTCCCAGGTAAGTCTTATTATTACCCTGATTTAGACATGCAGAAATTGAAATCAGACATGAGAAATAACAGAGTAAATGACACACCAAAAGTGACAAAGTTAGGATTAAACTTTGACTTGTGTGACACTTTGCATGACTTCCCATCATAATTCATCAGCACCTATGACCTTACATATACTAATATTTATTGATCAATTAGAAAGATAATAAGGGATGATCTAAAGAAATTTTGGTCCAAAAATGTATGTGTTAATGCCAGGGACTATGTCAAAACACTTTTAAAAACACAGTCTCACATAATCCTCAGATATACTTTCTCTCAAAGTGTCATAGTTTTAATTAAAAAAATTTTTCAACCTAAAAAAAATAGACTGCTTACTATTTTTTTAATATAAAAATAGTATGTACATCGCAAAACAATTTACAACTTTTAATTCATGGCTGTTTCATATTCTGCAACAATGATTTTGGTTCTGTCTTAACTTTATTGTGTACACTTAAATATTACACAATTAAGTATATAGCTTCTATTAAATGAAGAGGCCAGGGATTTTTAATTTTAATAAACAAGTGCATCTTAAGATGACTCCTAAATAATGTGCTAAAATTAAGCTGTCTATTTAATGAATTCTTTCATAATCCCGGTAAATTGATATTTTAATGGAAAATCATAGTACTCAAGTTATCACTAGAATAAATTGCCTAGAAATTTTCAATAAATGGATAATTAAAACTTAGTAAATGAAAACTGTGAAATTTCTTTACAAATAAAGAACAAAATATCCTGAAATAACAATGAATATTAGGAAAATATTTCTAAAGAAAGTGGATACTCTCTTTTTCTTACATTTTACACATATTTTTGAAATTTTCTGAAAAGTTTTTACAATTATATATATTATTTTAAATGTAGGCAAGATGCTTTGAAGTATATTATTGATAAAATAGTCATGAGTTTAAAAGAGCTCTGTTTTTAAACACCATATTTTGTTGTTTTTTCTGAAGGTTATTATATTACGCAAGGATATTCTATGGTATATTAAAATGCATAGTTCATTAGTTCAATATCTTCCACAAAGCGAGGGAGAAATTATTAGCATCAGAAACCAGCAAAATATTGGAAATTTCATATACAAGGAATAGACATTTTCTTTCAATAGCATCTGCATGAAAGTAATACGATTCTATCTCTAATTGAAGTTGGCCTAAATTGTAGCAAAAATTGTGCCTAATAAGAAAATAGCTGGAGTACACAGTAGTCAGTAAGTTACTATCATTAAAGCTTTAGCCCATATTCATTGAAGATAGACTGAAAATGTTAATGTACTATCTTAATTGAATCATTTCTTTAAAAAAAGGATAGTGTAAGATTCTGAGTTGTTACTTAAATTACAGGCTTTGAAACATTTTTGGTAGAACTATGATAAGAAGTCTTTTTTTAAATACATATATGTACATTAACAAAAATCATGAAATAATTTTAGTGTTTGATGTCCATCATATATTTAAGTAGAGAACGTATCAGATTATAAATAAGCTTCACAAAGAAAATAAAGATTTTATCTAACTTTTAAATTTTATTTAGTTGAAAGGAAATATCATTCAGATTCATATGAGAAGGCCAGTCATATACTTTAAAGGAATCCAGAAGTGATTCTATGGGCATGTGCTACAAAGAATGAAAGATCATAGTTCAAATCCTGGCAGTGTCACTTACTCTCTGTGTGACCAGGGAAACACTGAGTTTCCCTGTGCCTTAGTTTCCTTTTCTACAAGCATGGGAAAGTGATTGGACCTAGCTCATGATGATATTTTGGAGAAAAACTGTTGCAGATGTACTTTCAAAAAATTTGGCCGTAAAAATATCTTTCATCTCACTTACTCTTCTCCAATCAGATCTTGAATCCGTCCCCATCAAGAGGGAGAATCTAATTCCTCTCAGCTTGAATTTGGGCTGGCCTTATAATTGAAGTGTAACAATTTAGAATGAGGAGGAAACAACAACGCATGGTTACCAAGACTAGTTCAGAAAGACCATCTAGTATCTACCTGCCGTAATTCTCTTGGGATGTTCATTCTGGAGGAAGCCAGCTGCCATAGAAGAGGACAGACCACCCTGAGACAGCCATAATGGAGAGACTCCACGTGGGTGTTCCAATCTCCAGCTCCAAACGAGCTCATGGCCCAAAGCCAGCATCCACTGACAGCTAGCCACTTACGTGAACCATCTTGGTTTTGCAGCAAAGTTGCGTTTTCTTGTGACTACAGCTATAGAAAACATCTAAGTGCAAGCACATTAGAGATTCCTTATGACACCCTCTCAGCTAAGTCTTTCCAAATTCCTGATCCACAAAATCATGAGCAAGAGAAAATGGATGTTTTATGTCACTATGTTTTGAGGTCATTTATTATGCAGTAAGAATAGCAGAAGAAAAACCGTGATAATGTGTATACGGTGCTTATTAAAATGTTATTAGTATAATGTTTGTCGGGCAGGGAACACTTCTCCTGGAGTTTAATATTCATTCAATGAGGAGAGAGCTCTTTTAACATACCTCTCCTGGACTCTCCAACTCGCCTTCTTCTCCCTATGAGAACTAGGGGGATGTCTGATTGGTAACTCTAGGGACAGCATATTGTATAAGCTTTTCCTATCACTCCTTATTTATTTTCAGAAAGGACCTTCGTGTAGAGATGATAGGTTCTCCATTGCTCCTAGCCATCATGCTAACCTTAGTGGTGATGCTTACGTGATGAGACGTAGGAAGAAGAGATGTAGTCCTCTTCTTCCACAGGAGAGGGCTACAGGGTCTAATGTTACTTGGGCCTATGTTGGGTAAGTCCATCTAATTCTTTAGTTCACTATAAGTACATTCACTTACCTGTCGATTTAAGCCACGTGATATTTTGTCCCCATTTATTTCTTTTGCCTTAGCTAGTGATTGAGAATTTAGGCAAGGAAAAAGGATACTATTAATTAAGACCCATTCTAAAATCTACAATGATGAGCATATTTGCTAAGTCTATTGTCATATTTGGGGATGAAATTATTACTTTGAACCATATGGCATTGATGATATTTCATTGTCTATAACCTAAACATTTAGCAATTTCATCAAAACTTTGACACTGTATGAATAATAGGAAGTTTTGTTTTGTTTTGTTTTGTGCTGCATTTCCCAAGCCCCTATCAGGTGCCAAGTAATCTGTTAAGAGCATTTTCTGTTGAAAAGATTAGTTGTTAAATTTCATTTGACTTAGAGCATTGTTTTCCAAAGTAAGGCCTGAAGACCATCCACATGATGCCAATTGATGAGTTTATTAAATATGTACTCCTAGGACCTGTGCTAGACATACTAGCTACTCTAAATCAATCTCAGAGAGTGGGATTCTAGAATCTGCATTTTAACAGGCTCTCCAAGTGATTTTTATTGCAAATACAATCTCATGCTACCTTCCATGACAAGAGAGATACGGTCTCAATATACTCTGTGACAGTGTTTAATCAAACCTTACGCATCAGACTTTAGGGAGTCTGTTAACAATCAGAGTTTACTCAGAATAAGAGGAACATGTATGTTTCAAAAATTATGTAAAATGATGAAGGTAAAAAATAAAGTTTGTTAAATATTTACAATATGCTAAAGACTTTGATTTGCATTTTATAATATACTCCATCTTTTTTATACCAATAAGAGAAATAAGTATTATTATTAACATTTTAAAGATGAAGAAACTCATACTGAAAAGAGTTCAAATAATATTGCCAAAGCTGAAGCATCATAAACGGCAGAGCTGAAATTCAAACATACATATTCCTTACTTCAAAGCTCAGCTCAATCATTCAACTTCTGAATTTTGGCTGTTGAAGAAACTAGGAATATTAAGAGAAAAGAGGCTTACCATCCAGAAAATAAGATGGAGATCTTAAAAAATCTTTGGAGAAAAGTCTTGATAGAAAATGAATAGTCTTAATTTTTTTATTCAGTGGATAAAAGTTGTATTTGGAAAAACAAAAGTATATTTGGGTTTCTATAATTGTTTTGTAACAAATAAACCCAATAAAAATTAAAAGATGTGTACTTTAATAGAGATAGGCCTTAGCAAACAAAAACTAGTTGATTATTTTCACAACTACTACAGAAAAAAATTCTGCATGTGGTTTTGGATAACCTGGGGCATAGAGTACAGAATAAAATATCATGGCCTTCTGGTTGCTTGGTGACTTTTTATTGATAAAATAACTGAAGATAAGGTATCTCTCATTCTTGGTATATACATAAGGATACATCTATTAAATGAAGAGTAAAAGCTATCTTTGAAAAGAGAATTTTTAGGAAATGTTACAATAGACAGGAAATTAATAAAAGTATTAGCTGGGAATATGAAGCTCCAAATGATAAGGGCTTACAGATATGAAAATTATTATTTGAGTAATCGCATCTAATGAAATGTAGTAAATTGACATGAAAACAATTACCTACAGTATTATATGTCTAATATTTTTGGCAATTTTAAACAATTTGATGGAAATACAACTCCTTTCAGATTTGGCAACTGTGTCATTGTAATATCTATGATTTTCTGTTAAGAAAATATTAAAGCAAACTCTATATCATTTCTCTGAGTTGCCAGAAGACTATAAATACCACTCACATTTTATATATTTGATTGCCAACTTGCATATATAAAATAAGTAAATCAAAATAGTTTAACTATAACCAAAAGAGATATACTCTCTTAAAAAAGCCATCATAAGGAGCAAAAGGGGAAAAGAAGGGTGATGTATTTCAAAGTACCTTCTTTCAAAAGGCAAATAGTAAATGGATGGGGAAATGCCTGTTTTATCAATCTATGGAGTTACCATGTTGCTAAAAGTGACATGATGAGTTGGAAGGATAGAAAGTGTATTTTGGAAAAACTGATTTCAAATGTTTCTGCTATCAATATTGGTGCTTATATTTTAGAAATAATTGACTTTTGCAGACACTGATTTAAATTAGTGAAAAAAGATTAAAGGAAGTTGCTCTTTAACATTAAGAACAGAAAAGCGATCTATAAGCTTAATCTTACTGTCTTTACAGATGTGAAAATGCCACTCCATCATGCCATTAATTCTCTACCTTTTCCTTTCTGTCTCACTTTTGTCTACTACTTGTAGTTTTATGTGAATTTTTATGAATAACAACAATTATGAAAAGCCATGGAGTGTAGCGACACATATGATAAAGTTTAATTGATTTCTAAGTAACTTGAATACATTCCAATGAAAGGGCACCAATTTACATGGGAGTGGCATCTGCCAAAATGCTGTATTTTGTTGTGTTTGTACTTATTTCTACTTACTAGATTCTAAATTATATGAAAGCACAAACCTCTTCTACTACACAAAGACAATTCTAAAGAGTAAAGAGTTTAAGGACATCCAGACTTCTGTGAATTTGAATTACTTTTCATCTTCACAGCACTGGGTTGGGGGGTTTGAAATTGCAATAAGATATTTTGTAGATTCAATGTATGCCAGAAGTACACGTAAGCAAACATAAGAATACTAACAACCTAAGATTTTGTGACTTGAAAAATATCAAGTACTACCCTTCAACTTTTTTCTTTTTTGAATTTATTTTTAGGCTGACTTTGTAGTATACTACCTTTTTAAAAATTAAAACATTTATTGGATTCCTAAAGTTACTTGGTAAGTTGGAGTCCAATGTGAGATTTAATAATATGCCAAACACCGAAAATACAATAATATTGGAAACCACTCTGCACTGGGTTGCCATTACCTTATCGCCTTCGGAAAATGTGATGCCATCCACTGCTCTTTTCCAAGTGATTTCTGGAATAGGTTCCCCTTCCGCTTCACACATGAGTGTGACTTGACCATTCTCATGTGTAGTCTCATTTTTAAGCTGTATTATGTGAGGCTGTACTGTAAAGAATATATATGTTACTCAATCTGTATTGGAGGAAAATATTACAATTTAGACTTAAAAGCCATGGTGGTCATTTAAATACACTTTAGTATAGTATGGAATTATTAACTGTATTTCAGTTACAGTGGTATGCCTTGATTTATGGGGGGGGGGGGGTGGCAAGAGAGTTCCAAAGTACAGGACAAAACACTTTAGAAAATAATTCTCATTGATTAGCACTATGAAAATAATTTGAAGTAGCTTAGAAACCAACATACAGATTATAATTCTTTCCAAAATTTTGCCAATTTAAAAGCAACCTTATTACTATTTTGTTCTTTCAAAGCTACAAAATTAAAATTTCCTCTTTTAAAGCCACATGTATACATACGTGTGTGTGTGTACATGTGTGTGGCATCTGCTCATTTAGTGATTACCTTTTAAACTTTAAAAACAATTTCATGAAAGAGGGAAAATGATGACTGTATCCTGAGTATGTAGTAAGCATAACTGTGTACAATATTTATGAAGCAAATATATATACATCTTATTTACTTATACTATTCCAGTCGATTGATTTTCACCTCAGTTTATTATAACATTATTAGACATTATAACTAATTATTTCTTTATAATTATGACTTCCTAAAAGAAAAAAATTATGTCTACTAATTTAGATTATCTTAATGTTAAAAATTATGTCCCCCCACAAGTTTATATAATAAATGCTACAGGAATTTATGTTTGCAAACTCTGTTATCCGCATGTCTTAGCTTTTACTTGTTCGAACATAAAAGGGATAAAAGTTATCACTTGTTATTTCAGTACAAGTAACACGTTGTTTTTTAATCTTTAAATGCAATTAATTATGGAATATAAATAAGTTGTTCTTAATCTCAGAAAATTAAATATCTGATATCAGAATTGTGGCACATATAATTTTTAACAATTCAGTGCTTACTCCATTGATTTTAATGGATTTAGTTATATTTCCACTATATATACATGATTTTGTGTCAGGTGCAATACAAATTTATTCAATGTAACTGTATAAAAGTGATTACAAAAGTGTAAAAGGTAGTATTTCATGCATTATTTCCTTTTTTTCTTTTGAGGAAGATTAGCCCTGAGCTAACATCTGCTGCCAATCCTCCTCTTTTTTGCTGAGGAAGAATGGCCCTGAGCTAACATCCGTGCCCATCTTCCTCTACTTTATATGTGGGATGCCTGCCACAGCATGGTTTGCACAGTGGTGTAACGTCCACAACCGGGATCCGAACCAGCAAACCCCAGGCCTCTGAAGCAGAACGTGCACACTTAACCACTGATCCACAGGGTCGGCCCCTCATGCTTTATTTCTTATTTGACAGAATGAAAATATCAGCAACTTTCGTTTATATATTTCTTTGTTCTCACTCACTACCACCCTGATAAAAACAAGTAACTAGTATTTCATACGAACCTGTTAAGATAGATTGAGAATACCCACTCTTCAGAATTATCTCAGACACTATCATTTCTAGTTAATTTATTTTTATACTGAGTCATATTTATCTAATGTTGTAGGTTTTAAAGAGAATATTTTTTTTAAGTGGGGAATACCGCTGGAACAAGTTAGGGGCTTTCTATAATTTCCAATAATTTTATGTTTCTTTGCTCTTCCCTCTATATGAACAATTTTCTCGTGGCTCTTAGTTTTGATGTCTTCTCATTGTTAAAGATTTTTGTGTAAATAGATCAAAACATTACCCTTCTGAGTAATTTGCCAACACCATGTTATCCAAAATAATAGCCTTCTTTACCCAAAACTATCTAATTTATCTATTTTCACCTTCTTAAAACATTTTATTATTCCAATTTAATTTTTTTATTTTAATATATTTTTGCACATTCTTTATTGTCTGTCTCACTCTGCTAGAATATAAGCTTTATGAAAATTTCTCTGGTTCAGAAAATATTTCTTTTAGAGCAACCACAGGACTAGCTGGCAGAGGGCATGTCCACATGTGTATTACCATTCATCTTTTGGTCTGTGTAAGCAGTTTTGCTGCATCTGCCAATGGCAACCAGCAGTCTTTCTTACTCTAAAATTCACCCTCCTTCCTTTTCCCTCTCTTTGTTGTGAATGGATTTTGATACACATGCTTATAAAAATAGAGAAAACACACTAAATATTAGTAGTGTCTATAATTTTTAGTGTTACACTTTTTAAAGAGAATAACCATGTTCTAAATATCCTCCAGTAAATTGTTTTTCTTCTTACAAGCATAATGAAAACTAGATCAGTAATGTTAAAAAAAATGATGAGTTCTCTACTCTATAAGTTCCCCAGAGAAAGCAATATGGCTCTTGGTAAATATGGAAGATATTTATAATCCCTTTTAATAAAGGGAATATTTAATTATGGTTATGGGTCAATGTTTCCCCATTATAGCCTTATAGATGTGCTCTTTTGAAGTATATTGAAAGTAAAACTGATTCTAACATGTCATTTAAAGATTTATGAAGATCAACTCTTATATACGAAAAACACAACAGATCCCTGGATGTGTAGTTTAAATGAATTTTCTTTCAGCCTCTGTTATAAGTCAACAAATACTTTACAAGAAATTACATGTGTAACTTCATGTAATTCTTAAAATAATTCTATCTGGTAACTGTAATTGTAAAATATATTTTACAGTTGAGAAAACTGAGATTTAATTTTGAAAAGTTAAATGGTTCTTATGAGTGAAACAAGAAAATTTGACTCAGACCTCCCTCTATACGTCATACTTTTAACCACTTTGTCATAATACTTACCGAAGACTTGGAGGAACGCCTGTTTCTCATCTTCTCCTGCCTTATTTGTGGCCCTGCAGACATAAGGGCCGCCATCACTATTTACTATATTCCTGACAGTGAGTTCTGTGTTGCTTCCTTTCAATATGTACTTTTCATTTTCTTCAATGAACTTGCCATTCCTAAAGATGAAAACAGAGGTTGAGCTTCATAAATCTGACTTCATAACTCAGGAGCAGATCAAATTCAACCTTGTTACCTGTAGTTGTTAATCATTTTATGGCTACTGTCATTGATAGACAAGCCTATATTCCAATCAAAAGTATACTTCTAACAGTCTAGTAAAACAATGCATAAATATTAAAATTATGCTTGAAAGTTGGTTTGACCATAGAGACAAGAATAATATGTTGAAATCTGGACATTAATCTTAGGCAGAAAAGCATATTGGTTCAATTTGCACTTTGATTATTAGCAAGGAGAGTTTTATTTGCCGCTTTTAATTCCATACACATTTTTTATGTTGGTGAATCAATACATATTTATGAACATATTTATTTACTAGGTTCCTGAGACATATTTAAAAGAATTTCTATGAAAACATCCTTTAAAGAAATTTCAAAGTAAATGCAATTTAAATACATAATCGATTTATATTGCATACAGTACTGCTAATAAAAGTGTAAGATGATAGAATTATATGAAAATTCAGTTATAGGAATTATGCTGCATATGATTTAATTCATTAATGAGTGAAGAAATCATTTTTATTAGACATAAATAATTAATTTTCAGTTCTTTCAAGTTCTTTCTGGACTGAAATAGTCTCCATCATTCTCCAAATCTAATTTTTGTTGTCTACTAAAACAATGTCTTTCAAACTTTTTTACAATAACTTACAGTAAGAAATATTTTACATACATTTAAATCTGAAACAATTCTATAATTCCCCTTAATATGTGTGAAACCTTTTTATATTATATATTCTTTCCATTCTATTTTATTCTTATCTTCTTTTCGTCCTTCTCCTTTTCTTTTTCCTTATTTACTCCTCCTGCTATACTTTTCTTATAATGGTATTTCAGATGATTGATTTTAAGACCCACTAATGTAAAAAGTTTACAATCAGCCCTTAGAGCTGGGAGGATTTACTTGTCTATATAAGTTTAAGTCAAAAAAAATAAATCTCTAAAAAGATTATAAAAAATCTTTCCCAGAATTAAAAACAATATTTCCCCGATACTCTAAATGATCTTTCCAATGAATTCTGGTTTTGCTTTCTAGAAAGTACTGGCGCATATCCTAATATAATCTTCATCCTTCTATGACTCGATAACATCTGTTTTTCCAGTTTCTATCGACATCTCTAAATATATCTGAAATGTGCAAACGTTTCATGAGAGTAGAGTACAAAATTAGGCTTTATAAAATATTAATAGCAAATGTATATATAGTGCTCTGCACTTTTATATGTTTTGTTCATATTTTTACTATTCAAATGTTTACAGCAACTATAAATAAGGACACCATTTCAGCATTTTTGTCTAGAATTCTATGTATAGATAGGGTTTTCATCGCAATTAGTGATACAACATATTTCTTAACCTATTTAATGAAAAAGTATTCATTTGTTTCATCATCATCATCATCATCATTTACTAGAAGTTTCAGAAATCTGTGTCTTATAAAACATTTTTCCTATATTATTAACTTGGTTGAAGACTCACAATTAGCCCATAGATGAGCATTTTCTCTATTCACCTGCATTCACAGATCAGAGAACTAAATTTTTAAGTATAATTCCCCCCCCCCCCACCAATTCACAGATGAAGAGACCTAGTTTTACATAGTAACTTAAGTAGTAGGTTAACTAAGTACTAGTGTTCTTTATGATACAGAGTTATTTCTGTACTTTCTGTGAAATATAGTGCTAAATGTTTGAAGTATAGCAAATGAATGAGACTTGGCCACTTATCTTAAAGAAATCATAAATTATAATCAGATTCAGAGAACAGAGGGTAATATAGATCCTATTAATGCATTGATTCATAACTTTTTGCATTTTTTTTTGGGGGGGGGGCAAGACGGGATCCACTATACTAGGAGAGAAGAGAAAGAAGATAGCTGGAATACTCTGGGAATTTTCATGGGAAGAAAATTCATGATTTTGGCTTTGAAGTGGATGGGTAGATCTTGAAGAATTTAAAGGAAATCAGTTTGTAAAGATCATGTTCCCTTCAAGAGCTCAATTTAAAAATATTATTAAAGGATAATAACCAAGGTAATAGTTCTGAATTGGTCTCTCTGAACACACTTGTTAGATAGAACATATTTGTTCTTTTTCACAGTACATTTCTGTGGAATGCCAATGTCTGAAAAGACTCCCAAGATTCGGATGGAATTCCATGAGCTCATCCTTTGAAACTCAACCACTTCTCTAAGTGCCTCTTTTCCAAGCACAGTAAAACAGGAGTTAGGATTAGGGAATTAATGGAAATGATAAAGAAGGGAGGATAATTCCACTTTTGACCATAATGGGGTACCAGGGACCATATTTGCCCTCTCATTTTAAACAAAACAAACACTGGACACAGACTAAATAAGAGTTTTCAAATATTGGTCAACAGGTAGTACGTGGCTAGGATGTCTGAGAACTACTAAACCTTATTACCTGAAGAGAGTTTCCAGCCTGCAGCTCAGAGAGGGAGAACCCCAACAGAGCCAGGCTGTGTACATGAATTGGAAGACAGAGTTTGCAATTTAGGGAGGTTAAAGTGGCTAGAATTTGTGGGTCAAAAATATGTGAGAAGAAAGAGCTGCAGTAGAAAGAGGACTAAGGAGATCTGCAGAGGTTTCCTAACTAATCCTTAACTGAGTACTAATCAGTGAGTGTATGCTAGTAAGGCCTTCCCAGATTAGGGCAAGAACTATCAAAAAACATAAAACACAAACATCCCAGAAACTCACATATGACCAGGAATAATTTGCATCCCAACCATCCAGAGTAGAAAGACTTCCTGAAACACAAGGCATTAAGTTACCTCCTTAGAGTAATATTGCTTCAGTAATGAAGCCAAGCTATCCCAAGGCTGAAGATTATCCTGGATCCACATAAAAGAGCAGAACAGCAAATCTCAAAAAAGATCAAACTTTCCCCAAGTAACTTAACCGCATCCAAAAACAAAATAAAAGAATATGAAAATATCCAGCATCCCAAAACATAAAATCTTCAATGCTCAGCATCCAAGAAAAAAATTACTAGGATAGCAAATAAGTGGGAAAAAATGACCTATAACAAGGAGAAAAATCAATCAATAAAAAAATCCAGAAATGGTACAGATGATAGAATTAGCAGACAAGACCATTAAAATAGCTATTGGAATATATTCTATATATTTAAGACTGTAAAACATAAGCATGGTAAGAGAGGAATGGAAGACATAAGAAAGGCCTCCATCAAACTTGTAGAAATAAAAACTGGAATGATGAAGGATACTCTGGTGTGATTAAGAGCACATTGGACCTTACAAAAGAAAAGATCAGTGAACATGAAGACAAAGCAGTATAAGGCAGAAAACTTGAAGACATTGCAAATTGAAAACAGAGAGAAGAGGACTGAAAGTTCTATCTGGTATCATTTTCCTTATTGCTAAACAAAGTCTTTAAATAATTCCTATAGTACTGATCTGACGTTGATAATTGTTTAAACACATGACAATAAAGCTTCAAAACACAAAACGGAGAGAACTGAGCCAAGAAATAAAAAATAGTTGGAAAATCAATAAAGATACAGAAGTTGTGATCAATACTATTAACCAAGTTGATCTATACGATATTTAGAGAATATTCCATACAATAACAGTAGAACACACATTTTTCAAGTGCACACAGAACATTTAAAAATAGAGACCATAACATGAGACTCAATAAATTTAAATAAATTTATACTATATGGAGTACGTTTCCTGACAACTAAGAGATTTAGTCAAAAATCAGTAATAGAGGGGCTGGCCCAGTGGCGCAGCGGTTAAGTGTGCACATTCCATTTCGGTGGCCTGGGGTTCGCCAGTTCGGATCCTGGGTGTGGACATGTCACTGCTTGGCAAGCCATGCTGTGGTAGGTGTCCCACATAGAAAGCAGAGGAAGATGGGCACAGATGTTAGCTCAGGGTCAATCTTCCTCGGGAAAAAGAGGAGGATTGGTGGTAGATGTTAGCTCAGAGCTAATCTTCCTCAAAAAAACCAAAAACACCAGTAATAGAAATACACATGAAATAGACCCAAATATTTGGAAACAAAGATAAATACTTCTAAATCATCAATGTCAAAAATAACGTTACAAGAAAAATTTTTTAAATAATTTGAACTAAATAAAACTTAAAATATTATCAAATATCGAAATTAGTAGAGTGCAACTAAAACAGTATTTAAAGAAATACTGTTTTATTTCTTTTATATTGTTTTATAACAGCATTTAAAGAAATATTTACTTTTTTTAGAAAAGTATAAATATTAAAATCAATCATATAAATATCCACATTAAGCAACTAAAACTGAAGAGAAAATTAAACACAAAGTAAACAGAAGGAAGATAATAATAAGAATAAGAAGAGAAGTCAATGAAATAGCAAATAGAAAAACAAAAGAGGAAATAATTGAAACCAAAAGCTGATGATTGACAAGATTGTTGTATTCAGAAACCTTTATCTAGACTGATCAGGGTGAAAAAGAGAGTAGAGCAAATAACCAGTCCTCAGGTTTTCAGGAGAGAGGGCAGATCAGTTTAGGTAACACAAAAATTAAGTGTGACAAGAGAGTACTGTCAATGACTTTAAGCCAGTAAATACAACTTACATGAAATAGAAAAGTGCCTGGAATGATATAAATCGTCAAAGATCACTAAAAAAAAAAAGATATTACCTGAATAGACCCATATCTATGAAAGAACTTGAATTTGTGGTTAAACCTTTACACAGGAAAAGTCCTATCAGAGATTGTTTCACTGGAAATGTTTCTAAACATTTAAATAAGAAATAAGTATCATATACAAACTCTACCAGAAAACAGAAGAAAAGGAAACGCTTCCCTATTTATTTTATAAAACCAGTATTGCCCTAATCCCAAAGAAGTAAAGAACAAGAAAGCAATTGAACAATATCTTTCATTACCAAGAACACAAGGACTTTAACAAATTATTAGCATATTGATTTCAGCAATACACATAATAATCAAGGGAGTTTAAGCTAAGATGCAAGGTTGTTTTAATATTTGAAAATCAATGGAACTCACCAATTTAATGGGCTAACAATAAAAATTCATGTGTCATTCTCAATAGATGTAGAAGAGGCATTTGAACGGAAATGAAAAGAGGTGCTGCTTTTACTCCCACTTTGGCTCCCATGTCACCAAGTGCTCCTGGTTCTCTTTGTGAAAATTTCTTAATCCCCTCTCCTCCCCATGTTTGGTCCTCAACTGTCTTCTTTACTTGCTTCACTCATATCCCTTGGAGATATCAACTCTAAGTAACAGGTAGTCTGGATCTTTCTCTCCGGGCTGCTGCCCTGCATTCTCTAAAGCTTACAGATTGTTTTTTTTCCACAAAGATAACATGTCTATACCTACAGATAAATATGTCAAAGTAAAATCTTCCCTCTGATATTAATTTTACCTCTGTTAACGTCACTACAACATGCCCCCATTCTCCTATTAAATATTATCTCCCATTATATATTATCCAGTGACTAGAACAATTATTGTTTTATCTCATTCAAGGGATGAAACTAATGCCACATGAAAATACAGACATCAAAAATTATGGATTTAAATTACTCATTATATTAGCATCTGAATCTGATTTGTTCTAGTCTGTATGATAATTGTATTTCTATTTACATATTAGAAGTTTGAACAAATGAGAAACTTTAAGGAAAAAATCTAAACAGAAAAGAAGTCCCTCTGGAAAGATAAAATAATGAGAATAAGGTTCTAGAACAATATTTGCTCATTGTAATGAATGATCCAACAGCTTTTCTGTGCTACAAGTAGATCTAATATTGACGATTAAGGAGACACACTGGAAGCCAGAAGTCTCTGAGATACATGATAATTATCTGGAGTGAATATGTTAATTCTTGCTGTATAATCTCTTTAAAAATACCAACAATGTGTCACAAAGGAATTAATGTTTGCAAAGAACGTCTGAAAACCTTTGTTTGAAGAAACATCTTATTTATTGCTACCTGCTATATTAAATGGATAAAAAGAGTCTGGTCCAGTGGCCGAGTGGTTAAGTCTACTTGCTATGCTTTGGCAGCCAGGGGTTTGCTGGTTCGGATCCTGGGCGTAGACCTACACACCACTCACCAAGCCATGCTGTGGAAGCATCCCACATAGAAGAACTAGAATGCCTTAAAACTAGGATATACAACTATGTGCTGGGGTTTTGGGGAGGGAAAAAAGAAGAGGAAGATTGGCAACAGATGTTAGCTCAGGGCCAATCTTCCTCACCAAAAAATAAATAAATAATAAATAAATGGATAAATAAAGATTTGAAACCTGAAAATAATATCAGTAAATGCTCAGGAAGTCATGAAAAAAAAGTTTTGAATTTCAAATATTCTCCTTCAAATAGTTTTTTAAAAAGCCTAATCCTTACTATGGACGGTTTTGCCAACTTGAGTATATTTTTAGCAACTATTTTGTTGTGATTATTCTTATACTATATGGTTTATGAAGTGTAGAAGTGATTCTGTAAATATTTGTAGCAACTTGAATTAACGACAAATATATGTTTGCAAGATTGTCCATTTTTAAACTTTCATGATCTCCCTTTTAACAGTTTGAGCCACAATCTAAAAGAATGGAATATTTTGATATCTGTTTGATGGCAATGGAAATCAAATAACATTTAAAAATTCAAAAAATGTATAAAAATGAACTGTCAAGTAATAGATTTACAATAGACAGTTTATTCATTTGATGAAGTAAGCTTTTTTTAAATGACATTAAATTTATAGAAATTTAACTCAGTATAATTAGCTTTTTTCTATAATAATATGGTATACAAAACATATAATTATATTCCAATGAATATGATTTTGTACACATATAATAATGATGCCATCAATACTAGGATTCTTATTTCTAGATACTCTCTAGTAGTAACAACAAAAGGTTGAATCAGTCACAGGCCTCCTGGGCCCCTTCTGGCCAGAAACATACCTCATAGAGAGAACGACCAGGACTATTGATAAGGCTTTGACTTAGGTTAAATCACTCTGTTGATCCCTTTAACAATTTAATCTAAGCAACTTAACTGAAAATAAAGGCATCATAACTTTTTAATGAAATTCAAAAACAACACTTTTCTTTTTGACAAAAATGATAAGATCGTAAATATTTTTCCGTAAGCTCGATTATGGACACAAGCCAGAGGGATGTGGGTGCATATCCTACCTGTACCAGGAGATCGTGGGCTCAGGAGAGCCAGAAGCCCTGCAGGATAATGTCATCTCTTCTCCTCTCTCTGCTGTGGCATTAAAGGATTTCTGAGACATCGTGATGGCAGGAGGCACTGACAGAGAGATGAACATAGATTAAATAGATTTGAAAAATATTTCATCAACACCACTGGGACTTTTGTAACACTGCTTTTTTATTAACGGTAAGCTTTAAAACTTGATAGTTCAATTCTGTACTTACGTCCATAGGACTGATCTGGTTGCATAATAAAATGACTTTAAAATCACTGAGCTGCCTTCTAATGTACAATAATTAGATAATTCACTGTAATGTTATTTTACTATTTTTAATCTATCAAACTAGACTAAACAAGAAACTAGACGTTTTAGCAAAATATGTTCACTTTTATGAAATATTTCTCACAAAAAGACAGACAATACCACCCTGACTTCCATCAATACTGAGATCTACTTAGAGCAGAAATAGACTTCCTATTTGGGTTCTCATCGGTATGTGTAATTCTATAAGCAATCATTTACTGCTTCAAGACAGGGCTTTCAAATTAGGTGTCAAACCATAATGTTCTTTCTGATTAACTGCACTTAATTTCTTCAAACAACTATAGAACATTTTATGAAGAGAAACCGCTCAAGCCACACTGAGTATGAAATAGATTTTCAAGAACAATTTAATTTTAAAATTAGGCTTCCCCAATTTCCTAACTAATTACACTGCAAAAACTGTATCTGCCGCACACTTCAGACATGTTGAAACTGTTCCTGAAATGCACTGTTTGCAATAAACAAATCAATAACATCCATAACAGAAGCCAAATTTCAAAGTACAGCATAAATTTTGATTTAATGCACACTTTTATGATTTTCAATTAAATAGGACAAAATGGTATTTCTAAAATTAATTATATTAATAGATGTATTTTTTTACATATTCAAAACAACATGACCAGACAGGGATTGAGGAGTGTGACTATAATTAAATATCTCTACAGTAACATTCAGGTCAGGACTGAAGCGACGTTATCACCGTTGACCATGGGGATAGGAACTGATCTGTATGTTAGTAATTAAGCACAATAAATCAAGCTTCTGCCTTTATGAATTTAGACACAAAGGGCCTTATCTGACATGATGTCTCTAAAGTAACATAATAATTACTAATATTACAAGATGGACTTTTGTTTCGACTATTAACATGGCATTTTAAGTATACTGAAATTTGACTTTCTGTATCCTGTTTTCTTTCTTTTATAATTATGGAAAATAACATTTTAATCAAAATGTATTACTTTTCTTTTGCAAATGTAGTTGCAAGAACGCTACGACTATTTTTTATTACAGCAATAAAGATTTTTAATCCAATATAGAATAATAATGAAAATGAATTCTTTAATAAAAATTCTCCCTCTAGTAAAGTTTTTGTGTAAAGAGAAACATTTCCAAATGGAGCACCGCAGGCTCGAGTCCTTGTCCTATTACTGACCTAAACAAGTTATTTTTTCTTTATTGTAATTTTCTTTTCTACAAAGTGAACTCAGTATGCTAGAGGATCTCTAAGACTTGCCAAAAATCCTTATGTTTTATGATACAGTGGCTCAATGAAATATGTATTCATATTTAAAGTATAGATTAGCAGAACAATATTAATATTGCATATTTAATACTTTGTAGAGCAATTCCAGAACTATTCTGAAGAATAATAGCATCAAAATCTGCAGAGGTGTTCACTAGTTCAGATGGCAAGATGTTCAGAGCATTCGTTAGCTAGAGTTTTAGACTGTAGAGCATTTTTATTACCTCATTGCTTCTAATTAGCTTTTGAGTTGGATTAAATAGTTTTAAAAGGGATCTCAATTATATTTCATCCAGATTTCTTTTCTGTCTTAAGACCTGCATCCATTCTAACTTTTTAAAAATACTTATTTTCATATTTGATTGTATCTGAAACATCCAGTTTTAATAACTCTACGAAGATTTATATTCTGCATATGTTAAGTAGTTGATGCTTTCTGGTAAGTTTCTGCTTTCATTCTTTTTTTTTTAAGAAGGGAAAGCTCTTCCCTGAGCTAACATCTGTTGTTATTCTTCCTGCTTGTTTCTTTTCCCCCTCCCCAAAGCCCCAGTGCATGGCTGTGTATCCTGATTGTAAATCCTTCTAATTCTTCTATTGAGCCACCACCACAGCATGGCAACTGGCAGATGGGTGGTGTTGTTCCATGACCAGGAAATGAACCTGGGCCGCTGAAGCAGTGAGAGCACTGAACTTTAATCACTAGGCCATTGGAGCTGGCTCTCTGTTTTCATTCTTTAGCTTTAAGAAACACGAGGGTGTGTGGAAAATAACTCTACAACTCTCACTTACATGGAGGCTTTGGTCCACCTTCACATTATAATTTCCTCACTGGCATATTAGGTACAAAAGATACCACTAATTTGACAGCTTAATTCCCTTTCATCAGCAATGGGATCCAGCATTCCACACGTCTTCTGTGTCTCACAGTGTTCCTCCACTCCCTTCCCCTCAAAGATTTCTCAACGATGAAGAATATGGTACTAACCACAGAATACTCATGTGGTTCAGATTAAGCAGCACCAATAACCCTCCAACTTTATTCAGGATAAGGATGATAAACCCCGCTCTACCATTGTCAGGAAAGCTACTCTTCTGGAATTCATTGATTATTCAGATCTGGTCTAAATATATATCATCAAATAAATTCACATGTAGATACTTTATCCAGTAGAGGACTGCTAAACTTAAGATGCACAGTCCTGTCTTGTTTATCTTTCCTTGTTTTTACTTTTATGGCTGTGTGATCCTTACAAATTAACACAAAGGTGGATTTGGGGAAGACGGCAGGGTAGAAAGCACCAGGCATCTGTCTCTCCACCTAGACAACAGGTACACTGGCGGAATCTGTCTGATGCAACGATCTCAGATCTCTGGAGCCTACTGAAGGCTTGCAGCTTCCAAAGGAAGGTATGAAAGGTAAGTTGCAAACAAGGTCTCAAAGAGCTCTGAACATCCATGTCCATAGTAGCATTATTCACAATATCTAAAAAGTGGAAGCAACCCATATGTCCTTCGATAAATGAAGAAATAAGCAAAAGGTGGTGTATGCATAAAATGGAATATTATTCAGCCTGAAAAAGAAAGGAAATTCTGACATATGCTACAACTTGGATGAACCTTGAGGAACACGATGCTAACTGAAATAAACCAGTTACAAAAAGACAAATAATTCTACGATTCCACTTATTACATAGTTAGAGTAGTCAAAATTATAGAAACAGAAAGTGAATGGTGACTGCTAAGGGCTGAGGAGAGAGGGGAATAAGCAGTTACTGTTAAATGAGTATAGAGTTTCCATTTTGCAAGATGAGAAGAGTTATGGAGTTATGGCTGGTGGTGAATGTTGCACAACATTATGACTGTATTTAATATCACCTAGCTGAACACTTAAAATTAAGATGGTAAATTGTTTCTTACGTGTATTATACCACAATAAAAATTCAAAAAAAAGAAAGTCACATAAACTATCTGAGTCCTTGGCCAAGAGAATAATGGCCAGGTTAACACTAAAGCACCTTTTAGTTTTATATTGTTATTCTGAGTGTATACGAAAAATAATTTTGTTTCTTTCCATGACTTCATTAAAACATGGTTCTCTCCATTGCATATAAACACTGAACAGAGAAAGAATGTAACAATTGGTAAACCACATTTCTAAACTGTTTCATGTAGAAAACTGCAATTTTTTCAGTTTAATTGTAAGATTCCTCCTTCATAAAGAAGCGAGTATCTTCATTTTGCAACTTACCTCCAGCAAGTTTTCTATACTTAACTGCTTATAACATTATGTAGTAAAAAATGATTGGTATTTTAATATTATGTAGACTCTTCCTATGCAATGAGATACTTAAATTATGTACAAGGCATTCTCATCATGATTTTGATCATTTGTTACTTTTCAGGGGTCATATTAGGTATCAATGATGTACTTGTGCATTGCGTTTTTCTCTAGTTTTTTCCATTGTTTGTTTTGCTCTTCACTATTTCCTTCTAGGCTATTATATCATCTAACACTTCTCAATTTTCATTAATATTGGTTTTGGTTACTGGCAATAATCCTTCATTTCACATTTACGATGATCAATTTAAGTGCTATTTAATAAGAATAAATTTTTTTGGAACTCAAAACACAAAATTCAACAAATACAAAATATCAAATGATTGAAATAAATAAAAGTCAATTAATTGCATATTTCACTTTGAAAGAAAATCTAGCTGTAGGTTAAAGTAAACCAAATGCACAGTCAGTTCTTTTCAAATAAACATAGTTCATCATTTCCAGTCTTGAGTGTCAGCATACTTAATATTCCTGTCTTGCTACAGAAGTTAATCAATATATTTTTATGTACTTGACTGAGAACTGGTAACTTCTTGGCAAGCATCTTCCACACACTTCTTCCTAATTTGTGAATACAGTAAAGTAGGAGCATAATTACAATTATTTGTTAAGCGCTGTGTTTTAAATCAAACTTGTCTGAAAAAAACAGTAAGAGTTTTATTTGATACCATCATTGCAAGATAGTGAGGATCAAATTGGCCCATTATGTTGCTTTAAAAAAAATTCAAGAGAAAAGCTTTCACTGGCATCTCAAATTCCATTCTTAGTGAATCCTAATAGGAAAGATGTCAGATATTTAAGCAAATAAATATCCCCTTCGGTGGACAAGAAGTATAAAAGCAAGGAGAAAATGTAAATTGAAGCTTTGTTGCTTTATCATCATTATGCTTTTCAGTATTTTCCAAGTTTTTGCCAAATAAATCTGATTTTTATATTCTGTTAAATTGACTTTTTAAAACAGATCATATTCACAGGTTGAAAAATAAAATGAAATAAGAAGATAGATACATAATTCTTGTCCTTACCTTTTCTCATTAACCACTTTATTAATTACTTGTATTTCTCTAGGCAAATACATTTTTATATTTCCTTTTTCCTTTTACAAAATATACCCTTTTCTGTACCATTCTTCTTTTCTCAAATTAACAATACATGTAAAGGATATATTCATGTTACTATGTAGA